GAATAATACTTTGATTCTTTCTTAACGGAATATGGAACAATAGATTAAGAAGTTGTATCAACCTTAGGATACAGTTGGTTTAACTGAAAACGAATGATCTATGATCGAAAAATCGGAAAAAGAGGTGGAGGAAACCGAGAAGAAGATGAAATCTTCTGTAGCAGAGTCCTTGAGAGGTATAAATATACTTAAAAGGTTTAAATGAAGTAGGACAGAAATGAATGAAGAAGAAAAGTCAGGAATAGCGACTCCTGAAAATGGAAAAGCTGAAGAAAAAGAGGAAGAAAAATATGCTAGGAATAGTGCTCGCAGATGCAAGCAGATGCAAGATCAAGAGACACTTTACACCATCAAAACTAAGAAACTTGAATATCTTGAACATATTTTGAGATGATTTAAGCATTTGCTGTTACAAAACATAATGAGGTTTTTGATCTTAAGCGGATATTTTAGGGGTTCGAGCAAAGTAATCCCTTAAGAAACCCACAGTCAATATTATGTCTGTACAGCAAAATTTTTAACTCTGAACACTAAATATCATCATATACGAGTGCCAGTTAACACAAAACAACAAAGATAAGATTATCTTTCGAATAAAGTCAATTGATAAAAATTATCTTTGTTTTATTCCATTTCAAAGTTCGATACCTGTAAAAAAATATTATTACTCAATATATTTTAAATATTTTTGAATAAAAAGAGTTTTGCTTTCTTTAAACATGTTTTTATTGGGCACTACATTGCATCTTTCTACTAAAAAATATTTTTAAATCTTTATAGTTAAGTCCAAACCTGTAGACTGAAGTACTTCTATAAACTGTTATTTTAGGTTTGTGGTACACGATAGTACGACTTGGTTGGCTTTTTCTTCAGTGTCGGATAAAAGATATTAAAACAGGTTTTAAGTTTAAACCAGAGAGAAACCGTTAAATAATTAAATCAATTTAGCTCTTAAAACATATTATTTTGTCAACAGTTTCCGTTTTTGTTTACTTTTTTTATTATAAATTAATTCATTGGATTGGAAACTTTTAGTTTAGTCTAGTTAGTGACCTCGATGTTAGTTCTTGTTAATTATGAAGGTAGTGGCATTGATTGGCTAGTTTGTTATTTCTAAATATAACAAGCGCCTTCCTTAAGATCTTCAATGTTTTTGAAAAGGGAGATTTTTTAGATACGATCCATCTTCCTCTTTAACCTTCGGGTAGTGGCGCTATAGTTTCTTACAAGTTTAGTTGCCCCGGTGTAATAGACCAGCTAGGTCAAAAAATAGAAATAGAGGATTTTTCTGTTTTATTTTGTAAGAATTTAGAATAGGTAAATACATTAAGACATTTTAGTAAAAAAAACTTTAATAAACTAAACAGAACAATGATTTGAATAGTTATTGAAAAAAAATGTGACGTGTATTAATTTTTGCCTTATAAAATAAAAATAAACAAACGTAACACAATAAACATACTTAAAAAATATATAAATAAACATCAATGCAACAAATAGCTACAAAAAACAAAACGGTATATTTTTATTGTGGTTCCCTACTGTTCTGACATAAACCTGTGATATGCTCTTAACACATAAATGCATTGCATTTGTAGCAGGAAAAACGTTTTTTTCTATATTTCCATCTAGCAGTAGATGCACGTTCCAGCAGATATGATTTCCTGATTTTTCAGTGCATCACTTCGAGTTACTTCCATAAGTCTCAGCTTCAGCGTACTCGGAAGATTGCTAAGAGCTGCTCTTCTTTTCAAATGTGGATGAACCAATGCGTTTGCCAAATCTCTTAACAAATGTCTTCGCCGTATATTTGGGTCTACGTTGTTTGTTTTATTCCATGGGCCATCTTCTGCTATTCCAGAAGCAATTGTAACTAGCACACAACTTATCTACAACGTCGACACCCCCTTTTGTATTATTATTACTGGTTTAGATTTATGGAATGGATTCATTTAGAATGGACCTCGTCCTCAGTGTTATGTTATTTTCAGAAGAAATCAGTCGAAAGTCATTAATCGGGGGTTTTTGAGTTCGTTGAATACGAATATTACAACGGCGATGGTTTTCCAGCTTCCTGATAGAGGGTGAACCTCGTTTCCTGCAGTTTTTTTTTAATGAAAATCGTAAATAACAAATAATAAAAAACTTTAGGAGATGAGGTTGACAATAGGCACCAGATACCTTTGGAAATCATTGCCGTCATTATATTCTGGATCATCAACCCCAGAAATCTCCAAGTAATGAATTTTTACTGATTTCGAATAAAAATAAAACTCCAAAAGCCAGGGTCCAAACTGAGCTAAAGTTAGCTCGAGGATTATCGCTGTCAAAATATTTTTGTTCAGCGTCCTCAAAAACCTTCGAAGTAATTACTTTCGACTGATTTCGATTGAAAATAACATAAAACTCCAGGAGACGAGTTCCCTCCTTGGTACGAGGTAGTCCACGTATCATCGTCGTTATCATATTCATGTTCAGCGACCTCGAAAAACCTCAAGTAACAAAATTAAACTCATTTCTGTCGATATTTTCTTAGTTTTATTTTTTTTTTATTTTCTATACATCTTAATACATTTTTCTTATGCAGAATGCAATTTTTAATTCCTTTATGATGACATTAGTTCACAAAAATTCCTGACGCTCTCATGAATCGAATGCACCAAACTATCTCAATCCGTCGTACTGCGCCGATTTTTAAAGGTTCATTGCTTCTTTTCTTCGACTATCTCACAACTTTTACTGTGTTACCTTTCAATTATCTATTAGCAATTATACCAAGTCTATACTCTTAAGTACCTCAAAGACTTTCGATAATCCAAGACTGTATTCTGATTGTTCTAAACTGTAGTGGTGTTTCTCCTGAAATAGGAGATCCGGAAATCCGAACGGGAGCTCATTTTTCTTTTATTTTATATTGGAGAAGGTCTTTTCATTATTATGGCCTAAAAAATTTCGGAAATTAGACTGTCCTGAATACCTAAAGTGCACTATTACATAATAATTTTATAATAATCACTGATTTTAGTTTCCCATATCCCGCTACTAGAATATACGTGTGTAAAAGCCAAATGGAATAAATTCATTATTTAGGTTACTGTACATATTTATAAAAAATTCCAAAACACGTCAAATTTAAATTATAACTTGACATTCTTTAACGTGAAAATGCAACCCCTACCTTCAACCCCCTTAGAATGAGAGGTACAACCCCCAATTTTAAAATAGGAAGTATGGGCTTGTGATATATCGTTTGAAAGGTCTTTTCATTCTCCATTCAAAAATGTTGTCGCTTTCAAATTTATTAAGATTAATTAAAATAAAATAAATTAAAATAACGTGGTTACCGAAATTCGCTACAATACAATCAAAAACTAAAATGTAATGCAAAACGTAATAAAATGTAGAACACGAAAAAGAACTATGAATGTTAATGAAATAGATGTTCAAAATGTTCACCGCGAACGTCTTGGCAACATCCTAATCTCAAATAAAACTGTCTTCTAACATTATTTAACATAACAGGATGATCGACCTAATCGCAAGCGTTATTCGTTCTTTTAAGTCATTTAAATCAGAAGGTTTAGTTTTGTACACATGGCTCTTCACATATCCCCATAAAAAGAAATTTAATAATGTAAGATCAGGTGATCGCGCTGGCCATTCAATCGATCCTCGCCTCCCTCTTCACCGATTGGGAAATATTGTATCGAGGTACTGCCGGATATTAAGTTGGTAATGTGGTGGTGCTTCATCCTGCTGACACCATATCGTATTCGCTGGAACTTGAGGGTTTCCTGGATTAGGATATGAATTTGCCAACGTTGGAACGACATCATTTTGAAGTAGTGCCAAATAATTGTTGTCATTCAAGTTGCCCTCAATGAAAAAGGGACTAATGATATTGTTTCCTACAATCCCTGCCCTGCCCAACTATTAACCTTTTGAGGGTTAATGAGTGTGTTCTTCTCTTATCGAATGAGGATTGTCCGTGGCCCAGTAGTGGCAATTTTGCCGATTAGCATGACCGTTAAGTGAAAAAAAAAGAAAACATAACGTCTTCTAATTGGATAATATTGTTATCCAACATGTTCATCATTTGCTCACAAAAAAAAGTTCTCTTATCAAAATCGTCTTCCATGAGTTCCTGAGTAGGTATCATCTTATAGGGATGCAATTTAGTTTCTTTTAATATGTTTATTATTGATGTATGACTAGCATTGAATGTAGTGGATGCCTGTCTACTCGATGTATGTGGATTTTCCTGAAACTCAAGCAACACATCTAATTTGAGTTCATCACTCAGTGCATTGGCAGCTGCTTTTTTTATCTGCCTTACATGACAAAACTCGCGAAACTGCTTCTCTATTTTACTTATTGTTCCTTGGGATATAGGCGGTAAATTAGGAAATTTCTTATGAAATAGGCGAGTTACTTCCTGTTGTGTTCGGGTTTTATCTTCGTAACCAATCATTTGTAAAACAGTTATTTTATGCATTTCCGTGTTAAAATATTTTAGCGAATTTCAGTAACCACATGATTTTAATTTATTTTATCTTAATTAATCCTAATAAACTTGAAAGCGACAACATGTTTGAATGGAGAATGAAAAGACCTTTCAAACGATATATCACAAGCCTATACTTCCTATTTTAAAAATTGGGCGTTGTACCTGTCATTCTAAGGGGGTTGACGGTAGGGGTTGCATTTTCACGTTAAAGAATATCAAGTTATAATTTAAATTTGACGTGTTTCGGGATTTTTTATAAATATGTATGTACAGTAACCTAAATAATGAATTTATTCCATTTGACTTTTACACACTGTATAATTATTATATGTCAATATCAATATATAATTCATTCGTTTTAATAATGTATCGATTTAAAAAATTAAGTACAATTTGCAACAGTTGAAATATTATTCAACTTAACCCTTGATATTTATTACCTTTCAACTTTGTATTATTGCCACAATCTTATATATTTTTTATTTTTTTTTAGAATGAGCATCGGTGTGTTCGTTCTTCCACTTTTAGTCTTCTACACACTGTTTTCCTCGACAAATGGCCACGGAAGATTGATAGAACCTCCCAGCAGAGCTTCAGCTTGGAGGTATGGCTTTGACACTCCCCACAACTACAACGACCACGAGTTATTCTGCGGAGGATTTACTAGACAATGGGTAAAAAACGAAGGAAAATGTGGAGTATGCGGTGATCCATGGGATTCCAAGTAAGTTAAAATTTAGGACTATTTACATTATATTATATTATATTTTATAGTATACATATATATATATATATATATATATATATATATATATATATATATATATATATATATATATATATATATATATATATATATATATATATACAGTGTAGGAAAAATTTTATGGTCGGTATGCTAAAATTTAACAGGATATCTAACGCAGATATAAAATCATATTTTCAGCGAATAGACAAAGATAACAATCATATTTCCCCTTGGTCTCCCCTCCTCAAATATTTTTAACACCTATTGGCCATTAGTGAGACGAATAGTTCCGATCAGAGATATTTTACATATTCTCTGGTTCCGATCCTAATATACCTAAAAAACTAGAGGTGGGTCCTCCCGTTTTTTAAATTTTTATCGGAACCGTTTTTCGTAAACTGTAACTAGTTGATTCAAATTAGCGAGTACACAAACATATTGGCTATTATCGTTTATGTGTATAAGTATTGAAGTGAAAGAACCTAACGAAGGATATATTTATTATTACTTGAAAAATAAATTAAACAATACAAATAGTACTTACATTTACATTACACGTTATTATTAAATCGCGAACCGTCTAAATTGACATTTAAAAACAAGTTTTTCTACTTTTCTTGTTAACTGTGTTCTTCTTTTATTTAAAATTAAACCAGATTTTAAACATGTGTTCACAAGGAAAAGATTTTGTTACAATTCTACAATATTTTATGAATATAGTGGCTAAGTTAGGATATACATGGCGATGGTTTTTCCACCACGGTAATGGACAGTTCCAATCTCCGTTCGAAATTTATTGTGGGTAATATATTATTAGACAAATACATGTCTACTTCTTGTATATCTCTCGATACAGTTGTATGTTTAGATGAGTCATGTCCAATTAATTCATCAAAAATACACAATGGACTTAAGTCATCTTTATCAGTTTCTTTTTCTTGACTAAACTTATTGATTTACTAAACTTATGCAAAGACTCGTTTCATCCCTTTTTGTATAGGTGAAGAACCAGATTTTAAAAAGTTTGCAGGGTGGATTCCTGGATATAAACCGCCAACAAGAAAAACTGTTAGATTCATTACTTCAGGAATGTTATGTCAAAACTGATTTGATAATAGATAAAAAAAAGTCCTTTTTTCGACAATTCTGCAAAAAACATTAAAAAAAAGTACCTTATCTTCAGAAAGGCTTAATTACAACATAACAAAGTTCCCAAACGGCCAATCCAAGACGTGAAAACTAGGTAGAACTTCACCTATTACAGGTTAAAAAGAATGACTGAGTTAGAAGAGGCAATCCGTTTCACTTCTTCTTCTTTAAGTTCCATCTTCTATCGAAGGTTGGAAATCATCATGGCTATGCCGACTCTGTTGACTGCCGCTCTAAAAAGGTCTGCACTACTTCATTCAAACCATTCCCTTAAGTTCTTAAGCCAGGATATTCTTCGTCTTCCCACATTTCGCTTTTCTCGGATTTTGCCCTGCATAATAAGTTGTAATAATGCGTATTTTTGCCCTCTCATCACATGTCCCAAGTACTCAAGTTTTCGTCTTTTAATAGTTAATATTATTTCTGCCTCATTTCCTATCCTTCTAGTTACTTCAATGTTTGACATTTTTTGAATCCATGATATTCGTAGGATTCTTCTGTAACACCAAAATTCAAAGGCGGCCAACTTATTCAGATAAACTTGTTTTAGTGTCCAAGCTTTCAGACCATAAAGAAGAGTAGAGAACACGTAACATCGAAGCATTCTCAGGCGTAGTTCTAACCTTATATCCCGACAACAAAGAAACTTTTTAAGTTTAATAAATGATGTACGTGCTATTTCAATACGTGTCTTAATTTCTTTGATTTGGTCTACATCTGATGTTATCCATGTTCCTGTATTTATAGTTATTAACACTCTTAATTGCAGTATCTTCAATAGTCAATTGGATATTTGTGCAGATTTAGTCATGATCATGCATTTAGTTTTCTTTAAATTTATCTTCAGTCCGTACTCATGACAGCGTTCATTAAGGCGTTGCATTAGGTTCTGTAAATCATTGTTGTTATCCGTAATTATTACTGTATCGTCTGCAAAACGTAAGTTATTCAAAACTTCTTCATAGATAGATATACCTTCTATTGAGTCAGAGAGCGCTTCTTAAAATACCGATCACTGTAGACATTGAAAAGTAGTGGGGACAGCACGCAACCCTGGCGGACTCCTCTCTGTATTTTGATATTTTCGGTGTACTGGCGTGTATTTCCGTTCCACATCGGTATTAAATAATACAGACTTAGACTTAGACCAAATCTAAATAAAAAACACTGGATTATTTGTTCTCAGCTTTCCCAAATTTTACGGCCGTTTAAAGAAATAACAAGTACAATGAGTGGCCAAAAATACTTGAAGGGTAGTTCAGTGATTGTTATGGTACGCCATATGTTTTGGCCATTATGTTTGTTTATGTAGGTACTCTCTTACTTGAAACTACTTTTAAACAATCATAGTTAGTTGTTTACAAAAATTTAAATTTTTAAATTCATTCATTTTTTTTTGGAATCCTGAGAAAACTAACAAATATTTTTGAAAAATTTAAATGCAGAATAAAAGATTACATTATTACCGAGGGCCGAAAGTCCCTTAGAATAAACAAAAAGTTTTTTGAATGAGATATTTGAAATTAAAAATCACACTAATTTTTTTTTTCGCCCTTATAACTTATTAAAATAAACATTATAGAAGTTTTCAGGGACTTTTGGCCCTCGGTAATAATGTATTGGTTCATTCTGCGTTTAAATTTTTCAAGAATATTTATTAGTTTTATCAAGATTCGAAAAAAATGAATGCATTTAAAAAATATTAATCGCTCTTACGCTCTTAACGATAAAATTACCACGACCCACCTCTACTACCCGTTACTCGGTATTCTGACCAGACGGACGACGTTGCCAAATAAATTATTGTGTGTGAATATTTTTTAATGTGGTGTTATTGTATGCAGTTTATTATTTCATATTGGGAATAAGGCACAATGTGACTTTAAAATAAGCTTATTTTGATGTTTAGATTTTTAATTCGGAAATCGTACTTAAAATACGAAACATTAATAAATTTTATTTAGGTATATAAAACGATTTCCAAAGTGGAAATCAAAATCTTATATTACACTTATTGTAAAGTAAACTTGTGGCATATTCCCAATAAAAAAAAAGAGTAAGCTGCCATTTAAATCAATTTCGCCCAAATTGGATTATCTTAGAACATTGTTCAAATGCAAAAAAAAACAACAGGTGAAATAAATCCAATAAGTTTGGCAACGTTGAATTTCCCCTTTTTTAATATTTCCATTCGGCGATATAAAGGGCGTACCTAATATACCTCTCTCTTTTTAAACAGCTGTTTCTCACTCCATCTCACGTAAGGTCCATACCGACCATAAAATTTTTCCTACACTGTATATATATATATATATATTATATATATACATATATATATATATATATATATATATATATATAATATATATATATATATATATATATATATATATAGAGGGTGAAACAAAAAGGTAGGTCATAAATTCATAAATTAAATCGCGTATTCTGGGACCAAAAATAGTTTGATTGAACCTAACTTACCTTAGTACAAATGTGCACATAACAAAAAGTTACAGCGCTTTCAAGTGAAAATGACAATCGATTTTTTCCAATATATCGAAAACAAAAAAATGGACACGTGGCTTTCTTATGGCAGGAATATCTTAAAAAATAACAGTGACATTTGTACAGCCCATAAAAATTTTATGAGGGTTTTGTTCTTTTAAACTCTACCAAATGTTTGTATACGTTCCAATTAAATTATTATTGTGGTACTATTAGTTAAACACAATGTTTTTAAGAGAGGATTTTTTTACATAAAGGTTTTCTTCGGTTCGGATTTGCGTGTTATGATGGTTCTTAATGCCATTTCTGTTAAATTTAGCTTCGTCGGTAAACAAAACATGATTAATAAAATTGACGTTTTGTGTGTGTTCCGTTAAAAACCAATAGCCAAACCCCATTCTTTTAGGATGACAATCTTCATCCAGTAATTCCATCCAGTAATTCTTGAACGGGTGTTAAGTGATAAGGATGAAACTACTGTTTCTTGAATCTTCTCCAAATCATCACGTGAGAAACATCTAATTGAACAGCAACTACTGCTGTACTGCTTCCAGGAATTTTTTCAAATGCTTCAAAAATCTCTTTGTATCAACTTTTGGTCGACCATTATTACCAACAAGTTGCGGCTGCAATGTGACATCTCTCGTAAACGACAATTAATGCAAAGAAATAATCGTCTGCCTGGTGTATTTCGATTAGGATATTTTTCTGCATAACGCCTTGCAGCTGCTGCATTATTTCCTTGGCATTCACCTATAATTTCCACATTACCAATAATGATCTAAAATCCTAATTTAGCCTGCTCAAACTTATCTAAAAGTAAATTTTATTTAAGTTTATGCTCCTACGGCAGATAAAGATGACGACGATATCGAACTATTTTACCATGATTTGGAACAAGTCTTAAAATTAATGAAGAAACATCACAATACAATTAGTAATGGGCGACTTCACTGCCAAAGTTGGTCAGGGAAGAGTGGATGGATATGTGGGAAAATATGGTGTAGGAAATAGAAATGAACGTGGTGACCGTTTGATACAATTTTGCCAGACGGAAGAATTTGTAATAGCTAATACACTTTTTAAGCTACCAAAAAGAAAATTGTATACATGGAAATCTTCCGGTGATACAACAAATAGAAAAATCCGAAATCAAATTGATTTTGTCCCCATTAGACAAAGATTTCGTAATTCTATACTGTCTGCCAAAACTTACCTTGGAGTAGAAATCAGTTCAGACCATAACCCAATAGTAGTCACATTACGAACCAAATTGAAACTGGTTAAAAAAACCCACCCAAAGTAGAATTGATATTAAGAGATTAAGGGAGCCACAAACAAAGGAACAAACTGTAAAAACTCTTACTGAAAATCTACGTAATGCCCAAGAACTGAATAAAAGTAGCTATAACATTGATCAGAAATGGAAAAATATAAAAGTAGCAATAATTAAAACAGCAAATGAAAACTTAAAACCAAAGAAAAGAAAACATAAAGACTGGATGACTGAAGAAATACTAGTATTAATGAATGAAAGAAAATCATTTAAAACAAAAAATGCAATTAAATATAATGAAACTGATCGATTAATCACAAAGAGAATAAAAGAAGTTAAGGAGAGAATGTTATATGAGCAGTGCCAAGAGCTAGAAGAAATTGAGAAAAAATTACTTTTTTAAAATGCATAAAAGAATTAGAGAATTAACAGGAATGAGAAAAACACTTCAAACTAGGCAACTAAGAGATGAAAGTGGTGCACTTTTAACAGATATAAACCAAAAAATGCAGAGATGGACACAATATATAGCATATAGCACAGCTTTTTGAAGACAAAGAGAGAACAGAAGCACCAAAAGAATTTAAGGATGATACTGGGCCTGACATTATAAGAGAAGAAATTAAATATGCTATGAAACAAGCTAAAGGTGGTAAATCTCCCTAGCTTGATAAAGTTCCTATCAAATTACTCAAAATTGTGAATACTGAATCTATTGATCTTCTTTTGGATCTATTTAATACCAATATATAGAACAGGTATAATACCTAAAGAATGGCTCCAATCAACATTCATACTACTTCCCAAAAAAGCCAATGCAAAGGAGTGCAATGAACATCGCACCATAGCCTTAATGAGTCATGTCTTGAAATTGTTTTTAAAAGTAATTCACAATAGAATACATAATAAATTAGATGAAGGTATAAGTAATACACAAATGGGAATTAGGAAAGGACTGGGAACACGAGATGCACTGTTTGCAGTAAGTGTTCTTTCGCAGAGATGCTTAGATATAAATCAGGAAGTATAAGCTTGTTTCATTGATTTTGAGAAGGCATTTGACAGGGTGCAGCATAATCGGCTTAAAGGAATTTTATTAAATAAAACCATATACAGTATAGAGACATTAGAATCACATGTAACCTCTATTGGAACCAAACAGCAAAAGTGAAGTTGTAAATGAATTGACCAAAGATATCCAGATTCGCCGTGGGGTCCGTCAAGGGTGTATTTTATCACCCTTATTATTCAATTTATACAGTGAAGCAATATATCAGAAGCGCATGCCGAGGTCAGTGAGGGCGTTATAATAAACGGTGAGCACTTAATAACGTAAGATCTGTTGACGACACCGTCCTTCTGGCAGGAACACTAGAAAAACTGCAACACCTTGCTGAACAACTAATATATTGCAACGATTATGAACTAAAAATAAATTTGAAGAAAACCAAGTTCATGGTATTTACAAAAGCACAAAACATCAAAGTTAAGCTAGTACTAGATAATACAGAAATTGAACAAATATCTTCGTACAAATACCTCGGAGCATGGATCACAGAAGATACTGATCAGACAAAAGAAATAAGATGCCGCATTTAAATTGCATGGTCAACTTTTATTAGAATGGGAAAACTTTTTTTTATCGCTATATCAATATATCGCTCCGGATAAGAATGCTTTGATGTTATATTTTCTCTACCCTTTTGTATGGGGTTGAAGCTTGGACACTTAAAAAATCCAACATTAAAAACGTAGAAGCATTCGAAATGTGGTGTTACCCACGTATTTTGAAAATATTATGGATGGATCGCAAAACAAACGAACAAGTTCTCGAACAACTAGGAAAACAATGTGAAGTTTTAAATTCCATAAAAATCAGGAAATCGGAATACTTGGGGCACATCATGAGAGGTGAAAAATACGAACTACTAAGGAATGTAATGCAGGGTAAAATCAAAAGCAGAAAAGCGTAGGAAGACGTAAAATCTCGTGGATACGCAATATCCGTGAATAGTTTGGATGCAGTTCAATTGAACTATTCAGGCGCGTAACCAACAAAATTATAATTGCCAGAATGATTTCCAATATCCGATAGGAGCGGAACTAAAAAGGACCTTACCCAGAATTAAATCCATATTTGCCATTTCTGAAAATTGGTACACCATTATAATAGAAAATTTAGTTTTTTTTTTACCTGCACAATGATTGGAAATTTATTACTGACAATTGTAATGTTTATGTTAATGACAAATGTATTGTTGATGCTTCTATGTAGTATATAGCAACCATAGCAACAAGTGTTATACAGCCGACTAGAGAATTTTTAAAACATAATAAAAAAGTAGCCCCATCTCGATAAAAATTATCATCATCTTTGGCTCGACAATCCTCTGTGGATCTTGGCCTGCTCTAAGATTCGTCGCCATTCTGTTCGGTTTTTGGCAACATGTTGCCATCTTCTGATTTTTAATATTCGTAAGTCGGTTTCTACTCCATCTAACCACCTAATTCGCGGTCGGCCTTTGCTTCTTGTTCCTACAGGTGTTCCTGTGGTTAGCTTTTTAGCAATGGTATTTTCTGGCATTCGTATTATGTGTCCAGCCCATCTAAGTCGCTGTGTTTTAATGAACGTTATGACATCTGGCTCATCAAAGAGCTGATACAATTCAAAATTATATCTTCTGCGCCACTGCCCTTGGTCGTTTACAGCTCCAAATATTTTGCGGAGTATTTTACGCTCAAATATTCCCAAAAGTCTTTCATCTTTCTGCGTTAATGTCCATGTTTCTGCTCCATATGTGAGGACCGGCCTCAGCAATGTTTTGTATATAATAATTTTAGTTCTTCTCGATAAAAATTGGCTTATCGAAAAAGGCAAACAAACATTTGGGGGGGGGGGGGTTAAGGGAACAAAACCCACATAACATTTTTATGGTGTGTACAAATTTAACTGTTTTTTTTTAAAGATATTACTGCCATAAGAAAACCACATATTCATTTTCAATATAAAATCTCCAACAGTTTTCAATATATTAGAAAACCTTGATATTCATTTTGTAACTTCAAAGGGCTGTAACCTTGTTGATGTGCACATTTGTGCCACTGTAAGTTAGGTTTAATCGAACTCTTTTTGGTCCCAGAATACGTGATTTGATTTATGGCCTACCTTTTTGTTACACCCTGTATATATTAAACGTAGAGCTAAGATTAATACTACTACAATAATTCATATTACACTCAGCAGTCTAACGGGTTAAATCGCGTCGATTATCATTCGCCGAATTTTCGACATCCTCTTTGATGTCTTCTTCAGGGTTTCCGAGGTCTTAGTCTCTCGAGTTCCCAGACCCTACTATTTTTTTTTTAACCTATTCTCTATCCTTCCATTGTTGGATATAGGTCTCCCCCAGTTCTTTCCATCTTTCCCTATCTTGAGCTGTTCTCTGCCATGTGGGACCTCCTTGTTTCCTGATGTCATCTTTCCACCTCATCTGTGGTCTGCCGCTGGATCTCTTTGCATTGTATGGACGCCACTTTCCGATGGCATTGTTCCATCGTCCGTCTTGGAGACGTTCATTGTGTCCAGCCCATTTCCATTTCAGTTTTGCTGCTTGTTCTATCGCGTCTACTGTCTTTGTTCTGGTTCTGATCCACTGGTTACGTTGTCTATCCCTAAGTGATACACCCAACATTTGTCTTTCCATCGCTCTTTGTGCCTTCCTTATCCTATCCAAATTGGCCTGTGTAAATGTCCATGTCTGTGCTCCGTAGGTGAGCACCGGTATGATACAGGAGTTATATACCTTGCTTCGTAAGTATAGAGGGATTGTTTGGTTTTTTAGAACGTAAGAAAGTTTGCCGAACGCTGCTTATCCCATTCTTACTCGTCTCGATATTTCGACTGTTTGATTTTCTCTATTAGCTCTAGACCCTACTATACTGATCGCTATTCTATTCTATTCTATTCTATTCTATTCTATTCTATTCTATTCTATTCTATTCTATTCTATTCTATTCTATTCTATTCTATTCTATTCTATTCTATTCTATTCTATTCTATTCTATTCTATGCTATTCTATTCTATTCTATTCTGTTCCATTATATTCTGTTCTACTCTATTCTATTCTGTTTCTGTTCTATTGTATTCTATTCTTTTCTATTTTTTTTTATTCTTTTTTATTCTTTTCTATTCTTTTCTATTCTATTGTATTTGAATGTGTATTTTTTTATGTTTATTTTATTTTTTGATATAATGTTCACCATTTTGTAGACTACCACGTGCACATGAATTAGGAGGCACCTATGGAAAAGGTGTCATTGTACGAAAATATTCGCCAGGCAGTAAAATAACCATAAGAGTAGAAATTACTGCAAACCATTGGGGGTACTTTGAATTTTCCATTTGTCCAAACTACAAGACGCCAACACAAGAGTGCCTGGATCAAAATATATTGACTCTTGTACGACCGCAGGAAAATGTTGAACATAAAGGAGTTAGATACTTCCCAAAAGAAGGAAATAAGGTGTATGAAATGAAGTATAGATTGCCAAAGAAGTCATGCGAGCATTGCGTTTTACAGTGGAGGTACATTGCAGGTTAGTAATTTTATCAGAAATACGCTTTAAAAGTTTATAATGAATGGCTAGGTAGACACGAAGGGCTGATACATGTTTTATACATCCAGCACGACGCCGGGTAGTACTTATTGATAAGACGTGTTGGATTTGGTCTGTACCAAGAAAATTCTTTAAGAACTCTTTTCAGTATAAATATTTTGTAGTATCAACTTGTGTAATACTTTAGAGTAATTATTTATCTATTTTTAACTAATTATTGTTAACATTTGTAGGTAATAACTGGGGAGTGTGCACCAACGGTACAGGCGCTGTAGGATGTGGACCACAAGAAGAGTTTCGGGCATGCGCCGATATCACAATCGCAGGCAAAGCAGAAGAACCATCGGTACCAGAAATCGAAGAACCGTCGACCACTACAACTCAAGCAACCCCGTCTAGTACCATCTTGGTTCCAACACTACCAACACCAGAAGAATCATACAACCCATTGTCAGCTTTACTTATTTCCTTCGTTTCTTTTTTAGTAGCATTTTCGATTTTGTTCCTTATTTATTTACATTTCTACCACATTGGTAGTCAAATTAAGAACTGGATTAAGAGACCAAAGGAAAAAGCCATTTTGACTGAGATTCCTCAAGCTCCTCGTCCTCCTCCAAGAACTAAAAGAACGACTAGTCCTACTAGGAGGGTCAGTACTGATGGTATGCAAGAGATAGACTTAAGAAGTGAGAGCTTAGCATAGCAATGAATTATTTTGAAATAATTGGATGTTTATGTTTGTTTTATATTTTAAGATCAAGAGAGTCAAATAGAAATCTTTAGTTTATATATATTTTACATCTAATTTTAATATTAAATCAATTTCTTATTGATTATTAATTTCAGTCGAATACATAACTTCATACCATAAATATTGGTTTTTGCGTGTAATAAATTGCTACCTGGATTCATCAAGATATAGGCAGCTTTATATAAGATCTAAATGACGGGTTCTAAAAGACAAAAAATAGATATTTGTCAATACTTACAAAGATTCAAGAAATCTAAAATTAGCGTTTCATGGATTCTTTTAATTCTACATTACACACATTGATACATTTAAAACGATAATCAGACTAAAAGTATGTTAAGGATGCGAGGGATGACAAGAAGTATGCCAGAACATTGAAAAAGAAGACCTTTGAAAGAAACCGATGAATGAAAACAAGATGTGGATGTCTGTTTACAATGATTAGTGTTTTTAGAAAACATTTTTCTCATAATGTACTGAGCTCCGGGATCTAAAGAGTGAGGAGAGATGACTTTTGAAAAGAACCACAGATATACAAATGTTGGACAGAAGACTCACGAAATAGCTGAAATAATGAAATGTTAATTGCTGCACTATTGAAAATTTTAAAACACAATTTTGACTGTAGCACCATGAGAAGTAGAAAACTTCTTTTGTGCATTATGGTATTTCATAAAAGTGAAAGATTCAACGCCTATCCTTTCTCTGGTTTTTCTGGCAGGGTTTTGAAACCGTGCTTACTTCATTGATGCTGTCAAGGCACAGTAACAGGAATAACATAATTTTTTAAATTACCGTTCTGTCTGTATGAGCTAACCAAATGTCAATTTTGATTTTGGTATATTGGAATATTTCTATGTACGTATGTTGAAATTAGTAATATACAATAAATTTCTCTTTCACTTTGATTTGAACAACGTGGTTAAATAATGTTATCTGAAGTCTAATATAAAACTTATTAATGTTTGTGCTTCATATCGGAAAAGTATTCTGTTTTTTACACTCGTTTTTTATACTTCTGTTTTTTGCACAGTTTTGAACTTACATTTATAAAAACTGACTTAGTTCTGTTTTCTTCGTAAAGCAATTGAACGTTTTAAATTTTATATGGCTCTCATAGAGGTAGGTTTACACGTATCCAGTAACTGGCGTTAGTCGAACTGGCATAGTGGTGGCATCATATATCAATCTAATCACTTTTTTGCGCCAATCCAGCGCTGCCTCGAGTAGAGAGCTGGTCTATTTTTCATACCAGTGAAGTCCTAGTCAATCACTAGCATGTCAGTGAGACTGGCGCTAGTTATTGGATACGTTTTAAAGTGCCTTGAGGTTCTCTATGGATGCATAAACCTAATTAATTTTAGATAAACTGATGCTATTTATGATATATGAAACGTCTTCAAAATGAAGGTTGAAGTAGTAGGATCCTTTCTTTTATTCTCAGCCTTTTGACCTATAACCCTCCACTAGTACACTAATACAGTGAACTACATTTTATATTGCAACTTGACGATAATATCCTTTTAAATGAAGCTTTGATGTTTATTGGGATTAGCAGCGGTGAAATAAGTGTACTCTTTTAATTAAGTTTCAAGCTTTCGAAAATGTTTATTTTCATCATCAGGAAAAAAACTGAAATAAAGTGTGACTGTTAGTATAGCATTTTCGAAATATGTATTAAAAGGTGTAAAGGTTTTAAAACTTACGTTATTGAGATTTGTCGTTCGTGGATGTTCTACTCACAGGTGACAAATTTACGCACTGCTCATTGATTGAGTCAAATATTAAAAATACATGGTGTAACAGACCGAATTGACAAATTATTCTATACACTAACACATTAATACATACAAGAAAAAGACAATTAAAACAGTTAAAAGCCACGTGTGCCGGCCAACTGTGAAATATGAGGTTAAGAGGTAAATGTCATTCCTGAACATTGCAAATGACACCACTTCTTTTTTTCCTCTCCTTTTTCTTATGAAGTACTACTAATGTTAGACTACACATCAAAATTTACCAGAAAGTTGTTTGAAGTTTAAAAACCAAAATATATACTAAATACTTTTTAATAGACTGAAAGCTGGAAACCTTACAATGAGTTAGTGGTTGAGATATCATTGGGTTGAAAATGGTTATCTAAATATAGTAGGTAGGAGTAAATAGTGCTTAATTAATTTATGGTAATAATTTTGTTCATTGCATTGATATTCTGAGAAATTTCTAAGACCAGTCTTTTAGCATAGTTGGACTCTGTAGCTAAAACTCTGACCGATTCATAATTCATTTTATGATGTTCTTTGTTAACATGTTCCGCAAAAGCAGATCTTTCAGGATATAATCTGCTATTACTCCGGTGACTAATTAAACGACTACTTAAACTGCGTGCGGTTTGTCCCACATATACCAAATTACAGTTGTTACATGGAATCTGGTAGACAACGTTGGAACAATCCTTAATGTCATTGTTATCTTTAACCTTAGAAAATATAGATCTTGAAGTTAATGAGGTTTTAAAGGCTACTTTAAAGTTGGTGATATCTTTGAACAATCTTTCCAGTCTGGGTGTTATGCCTTTAAGGTATTTTAAAGAAGTATATAAGCAATTGGCATTCGGTTCTCCGCTTGTGACAGTAGCTTGCAACTCATCATTTTGGCGTACTATGTTCGTGGTCAAACTGAATAATATCTTGGTGACTAGGTGTTTTGGGTACGAATTGTCGATAAAAAGGTTAGAAAGAATTCTCAGGTTCTTCTGATGGAAAGAAGGATCACTGATAGGTTCTAGCCTTCATTTGCTTCAGCAAATTGATTTTTATTGAATGATGATGATATGACCAATATTTAAGAAAAAGTTCAGAACTATCAGGTTTTCTGTGCCAGTCGATTATCAGGGAGTTATAAGGGGTCTGATGAATCGGGTATCAAGAAAGGAAACTGAGCATAGATCATCCTTATATTCGATTGTGAACTGTAGTAGAGGATCATAACTATTAAATACCTGTAGAATTTTTGTTTAAAAAATTAGGGATTTTTGGACAAATCTGGGATTACCATATCCAGTAAATGATCCATCACATAACAGGCCAAAATGGAAGAGATAGAACCTCCATAGGAGTTCCTTATGTTTGTCAAAACACAGTATTATTAAAAGTGAAATAGGTGTTGTTGAAAAGAAAGAAGATAAGTGTTTTGAAATATTCTAAGCTGATATTGCAATGAGAATTAGTAAAATTCCAATTGTTTTCAATAGCTATTAAATCTGCATCTAGATGTATATTAGTGAACAATGAGACTACATGCAGACTGACAATAACATAGCGTTCAGGTAACTGATAGTTATTGAAGTTGATGAATTTTAATGTAGTATTCATTAGAGACATATGCATTGGTCAAAAAAGATGCTAATAAATTAGTAGGAGCACCAATACATGCTACAATGGGACGCAATGACAGCTGTGGTTTATCTTAAGTAAAGCGTAAAATTTGGGTATAATTCCCTTATAACCGGTTAATTTTTTTTGAAACATCATCTATTTTTCCTGAACTGCATAATTCCTTGATGAGGTTATTAAATTTGGTTTGAACAGTATTAGTTGGATCTCTGTTTAATCTCTCATATACATTATCAGAATTAAGCAATTCGAGACATAGTTCTAAATATCTTTGCTTTTCCAGAACTACAGTTACATTACTTTTGTCTGGAGGCATGACAATAATGTTAGTGTTTTCACTAAGAAACTTACGAGTTTTATGTAACATAGCTCTGAAAAAAGTAAAGCTATTTTTGTTGATGTTTTTATGTAAATAGTCAGTTATGATGCACGTAGAGTTAGCTATGAGTACGTCCCTCTGCTGCGCATCAATAGCAGAATGCATAATTGTTTCAACACCGGCCAACATATCCTTGATAGGAATATCTTTCTCTACGATAAGTTCCATACGGAACTTACGACCCAAAAACAAAAATCTAGAAATATCATCTGGTAAAGCTACATTGGAAAGGTTCTTAATCCAACCCGACTTTGTATTTAGCTTCAAGTTTATCTCCAGATTAAATAATCTATTATATTTGTTAGTATTTACTAATTTTATTTTATAAAAAGTTCTATAAAACTTGTTGTTTACTAGAAAATTTGTTAAAAATGAATTCAGAAGTTAAGTCAATGATGGGGTTGATGAATCAAATGATGAATGATGATTTATCACTAAATTCCAATTTTATCGGGCAGATTTACTTGGGATTTTATAGTACAACGTTTGAAACATATCTGGTTAGAGTGTGGCTTAAACCATGTATTCACCATTCACAATAAAGTGGATCTGCAAGCACGCAGAACTATCTAATCGATTAAAATAATTTATACATTTGCATAAATAGTAAAATAGTATCGTAATTTTTTACAATAGGTACCATTTTACTAATCCATGTCGTTTGTAATTTAAATCTTATTAGTATAATTATTGTAAAACTATTTTTACTAGAAAATACAAATGCAAAAAATTTCTAGTGATCTTTGTTATACAGTGCTAGTCAAAAGTCCGTTTCCCCCTCGTATCTTTTGAATGGATATTGTTATAATAGTGAAATTTCGAAGGAGGTAATAAACATACGTAGGCTTCTCAACTAGTCATAACAGGTGACGTAATAGTGACAGATGACGTTACAGCGTCACTGTGACAGATAATTTTAAATGGGATCTTATGGCAAGTGATACCCCGTTTAAGAGGTATTAAAAATACCTATTCTACCTAGAGTTTAAGCTCATTTTGATGAATAAATTAAGTAAATACTAAAATTGTACCTTCTCATTTAATTGATAAATATTTAACAACCAGTTCTTATAGTAAGTGTTCAAAATGTGCTCCATCTACTTCCTGGCAGTTATGCATCCTATTTCTAAACTCTTGCCGTACTCGTTCAAATGTGTCAGGAGAAATTGCCCTACATTCTTCAACAATTCGTTGTTTCAAAATGTCAATATAGTCGGTTGCTGTAGCGTAAACTTTAGATTTCAAGTATCTCCACAGAAAAAAATCTAATGGTGTGGGGTCCGGTGACCGAGGTGGCCATTCTATCGTACCTCGTCTTCCAATACATCTACCACGATATTCCTCATCTAGGTAACGGCTTACTTCACCATAATGGTGTGCAGGAGCACCATCTTGTTGAAATGTTATTTTTAAGTTGCCGAATTCATCTGGATTATCTTCCAGAATTTCAAGTATTAATGGTTAAATCGCATTTTGTAATTTTGGTTAATTGTCAAAAAAGTTGACGTTTAAACAATTAGAGAATTGAAAAACGTCAACTTTTTGACAAGTAACCGGAGGCAGAGGTTTTAATATTTATTAATTAAATGCAAAACTACAATTTTAGTATTTATCTAATTTATTTATCAAAATGAGCTTAAACTCTAAATAAATATGTATGGTTGAATAGGTATTTTCAATACCTTTCAAACGAGGTATCACTTGCCATAAGGTCCCATTTAAAATTATTTGTCACAGTGGCGCTGTAACGTCTGTCACTATTACGTCACCTGTTATGACTGGTTGAGAAGCCTACGTCTGTTTCTTCCAAATTTCACTATTATAAGTATAACGAA